CCCCAAACCCTCTCCCTCCCTGCCTCCCATCTCTAGTATCCTTAAGGTTTGTTCTCTCCCATTGAAAGTTCAACATATTGTTGTGGTCTTTTCTTTCTTTTTTCCTTCTTTTCTCCCTCCCTCTCTCCCTCTCTCCGTCTCTCCCTCCCTCCCTCCTCTCTTCTCTCTCTCTCTCTCTCTCTCTCTCTCTCTCTCTCTCTCTCACCACTGCTTATGAGTGAGAACATGTGGTATTTCTCTTTCCTTGTCTGGCTTATTTCACTTAATATAATTTTCTCCAGACTCATCCACGTTGGTGCAAATCAACCCAGCCTTTTTGTGACAATGATAATGTGGCCTAATTGTCCAGATCTTACCAAGAAAACTAAACCCAGAAGCATGAAGTAAGAGGTTGACAGATCTGACAACCTCACAATAAAGTAAATAACATGTTCTATTATTGCTTATGAATATAGTCTGTACTGTCCCCATGAAGGTCAGATGATTTTACCCACATTTCCTTCTGTGTTTCTAGGTGGCACAGATGTACAGGTGTGAGAACTAGTTACCATCTTGCTCCTTAATTCATTTTACATTTTTTAATTGACTATTTTCTTTGTACCAGGAACTGAGGAGCATACAGAAATGATTACAGCAATCTTTACCTTCAATAATTAAACACACGTTAAAAAAGCCTGCTACGAAATAATCCATAGCTTAAGCACTGAGAAAGTTAGGATGGTAGATACACCTACCTACAACTGAATGAGAATGTAGAAAGGAGGAGAAAACATGGATAGTTATGGTTAGCTAATACTGTTTTTCAAGTTTCTGGGGACAGAATTGTGCTGGGAACCCTATAGATAGCTGTGAAGGCATTACCTCAATGAAAATGTTCATAGAATTTTGAAGGTTATGTCATATGCCTGTGTGGGACCCATAGAAATATTCAGCTGGGTCTTCAGGGGAGAGGGAAGAGGGAAGCAAATTTTTCATTGACGTTTGAGAACATGATGATCTCTGTGAACTGTTAAAGTGACTAACTTTAAGAAACTGCCCATAACACCGTCAGCAGCAGTGAACCATCTCTCTTCAGAAACATCAGCTGGTTCCTCTTAGGAGATCTTGATCTCCCTCAGGACACCTGCAAGGAAGAAAACCTACAGTATATTTTTAGAGCAAAAACAATTAATTCATTTGAGACAGCTCTGTATAGCTTTACAGACTTCAGCTTTCTTTGGCACATGCTATTAGGCAATAATGATAATAAGGTTATCAAAAAGTGTCATCAGAGTCTCTTCTGGGGGATGAGGACTCGGTATCATATGGCAGATGTTTTGGGGTAGGTATCCAGCATTTATCCTCAACCACCATCTTCCATGCTCACCTCTTAGGCTAGGCAAGTTAGACGCTCACTTTCTCAACCTCCCTTACAACCAGTGCTGGCCATATGACATGGTTCTGGCCAGTGAAATGTATCAATACTTAGACCTCTTAGGTAGATACCCTGAAGTGTAAGTGCTAGGTCAGACAGTAACGCTATGTTTAACCCCTTGAGGAACTGCCAAACTGTTTTCCAAAGTGGCTATACCATTTTTCATTTCTACCAGTGCCGAATGAGGATTCTTTCTCTTTTTTCTTTTTGTTTATTTATTTTTTAAAAAAATTATGGACATCCTAGTGGGTGTGATGTAGTACCTCATTGTGGTTTTGATTTGCATTTCCCTAATGAAAAATGATGTTAAGCATTTTTCATGTGCTTTTTCGCCATTGGTATATCTTCTTTGAAGCAATAACTATTCAATTCCTTTGACCATTTAAAAATTGTCATCTGTCTTAATGAGTTGTAAAGTTTAAAAAAATATCTTCTATTCTAGATCCTTATTAGATACAGGATGTACAAATACAGTCTTCCATTCTGTGGGCTGCCTTTCATTGTTCTTTATGGAAAATGTTGTGAATTTTGATGCAAAAAAGTTTTAGTTTTGATGAAATTCAACTTATCTGTTTTTTCTTTGGTTGTTATTTTTTTTTGGTGTTAAATCTGAGAAACTGTTGCAAAGACTAAGGTCACCAAGACTTACACTTATTTTTTCTTCTAAGTGTTTGCACTTTTTAGCTCTTACATTTAGATCTTTGATCCATTTACATTAACTTTTCTATGTGTAGGAGGTAAAGATCCAACTTTATTGTTGAAAAGCCTATTCTTTTTCCATTGAATGGCCTTGGCGCTACTGTTGAAAATCAATTGAACATAGATGTATGGGTTTATTCCTGGACTCTGAATTCTATTCCATTGATATCTATTTTTAAGAGAGATATTTTAAAATCTTCTATTGTGATTGTGTATTTATCAATTCTCCTTATATCCTGACAAAAATAAGTAAGTAAATCTATTATGCACATTAAAAAGGAACCAAGAGGGGGAAGCTTATCAAGTAAAGAGCACAATCTGTTGAAGGTAAATTCTCGAATACATGGGAGTTTGCAGTGCTGTAATGACAGGGGACATAGGTCGCATGCATAATTACATTTCATGCCAAGAGGAGTGACTGCAGTCCCAGGTGCAAGTTTGAGCACAGACTGCAGGTGCTTGAGGAGCACTGTGCTGCCCGGCACAGAAGTAGACCCCCACATCTGATGGCTTGGAGACTGAGATATTCAGGAAGCTGTCCTTTCTGGATGCACCAAACTGAGTGGTTATTTTCCCATTTTTGGCCAATTCACCACCCTTATATAAGGTTATCAAGGGCACAGGACTTTTCCCAGGATCCTGCTTGTACCACAGCAAGGTGTTAAATGTGCTTGAGCTGCAATTCATGTAGACATCCCCTCCTTCCTGGATGGACACAGACCGAGGAATCTGATGCAGCTGTAGGCCACTTACTTACCCCTGTTCCAAATGACAAAGAGGGGTAGTTAAGATCATCTTTAGATCACCTGTCTTAGAGCTGGGATGAGCACTATATCCCTGAACTTGCCAGTCTGCTTCTCGTTTTCCTTTCCTTTTTCCTTCTTTAGCTATTCTCCTCTGTTTCTCTCTTTTCATAGATTCGGATAAAGCTTCACCTCCTGTCCTCACAGAATTTTCACCCCTTTAGAATTCTCTGTGGGAGAATCAGAAACTCCCAAGACTCACATGTCAGCTGCATCCATAGGATTATTAATAAAACTTCAAAGAGCATCTTCTGCCGACAAAGAATTCCCTGAATGGA